AAGAAAATGCAAGAGATTTTGGAGTAAGTCACAAGCATTTGGCCTTTTACATTTCTTAATTTCAAACCACATAACCCCTTAATCTTCCCTGTGTCTACCATCACATGGATTTCATAGGATCATAGATTTAGAGCTGAAAGAACAACTAGTCTAATTCCTTATTTTACAGATGACTAAGCTGAGGCCCAGAGAGTTCAAAGGACTTACCAGGGTCACATAGGTAGTAAATAACAGAGGCATGATTTGAACCCAAGTCCTTTGATTACAGAAACAATGGTTTTCATCAAATGACAATTTGATTTAATCCAGTCTTCTCAAGCAGATTGTTTCCTCCATCATGCCTACTCTCTCACTTACCTTCAGCCTATTGACTCCTTGCCAGATATCCATCCATATCTTTCCCATTCTCAAAAAACTAACACTTGATCCTTCTGTCCATGGTAGTTATAGTCCCATATCTCTCCACCCTGCGTTGCCTGAACTCTTCCTTGAGAAAAAAAAAAGTTGATAATAGATGCCCATTTCACTCACTTCTTAACTCTTCACAATCTGACTTCTGACCTCATCATTCAACTGAAACTGTTCTCTCCAAAGTTATCAATAATCTGTTAATTGTCCAAATATAGTGGTCTTTTTAAAAACATGATCTTCCTTGATCTCTTTATAGCCTTTGACCCTGTTGATCACCCTCTTCACCTTGATACTCTTCTCTCTAGGTTTTCATGACACTGATCTCTCCTGGTTCTTCTCCTGCCTGTCTGTTTCTTCTCTGCCTCCTTTTCATCCAGGTCATGCTCATCAAGTATAGGTGTCCCCCAAGGGTCTGATTTGGGTTTCCTCTTCTCCCTCTATAGTATTTCCCTTGGTGACCTCATCAGCTCCCATGTTTTCAATTGTCTCTCAGATCTACTTGTCAAGCTCTAACTTCTCTCCTGACCTCCAGGCTTTCATCTCTAACTACCTTTAGACATCTGAAACTGAATGCCCTATAGACATCCTAAATTCATCATGCCCCAACTTGACCTCTTTATCTTTCCCTCCAAACTCATCCCTCTTCCTATTTTTCTTATTATTGTTGAGGGTACCACTATCCTGTTAATTGCTCAGGCTTACCACCTAGCTGCTGTCCTTTATTCCTCACTTTTTCATTCCCCATATCCAATCTGTTTCCAAAACCTGTTGATTTGACATTCAAATATTCTCCCTTCTTTCCTCTAACCATACTTTCACCCTGATCCAGGACCTCATTATCTCAAGCCCAAATTACTGTAATGGGCTTCCAGTTACTCTCCCTGCCTCAAGTCCCTTACAATTCTAGTCCTTTCTTCACTCAGCTGTCAAATTGATTTTTCTAAAGCACAGGCTCAACCATGCCACCATTCTGGTTCCCTATTGCCTCCAGGATCAAACATAAAATCTTCTGTTTGGCTTTGAAAGCCTCTCATAACTTGGTTCATTCTTACCCCAGTCTATTTTCACCTTTATCATCTCCACATATTTTGTAATCCTGTGATACTGGCCCTCTTGCTCTTCCTCAAACATGACATTCCCTGCCACAGCACTGAACATTTCCACTGGCACATTATTTCTACCTTTTAGCTTCCCTGACTTCCTTCAGGTCTTAGCTAAAATCCTACCCTCTGCAAGAAACCTTCCTCAGTTCTCCTTAATCTCAATACCTTCCTTCTGAAGCTACCCCCATTTATCTGTATATCTTGTTTGTATATAGGTGTTCACATATTTTCTCCCTCACGAGAATGTGAACAAAGGCTGTTTTCAACCTTTCTTTGTGCACCCAGTGCTTAGCATAGTTCCTGACATATAGTAGGTGCTTAATAAATACTAATTGACTGACTGATGTGACAAGCCAATTACATTTTTGGGTGATGATCATAAAATAAAATAATAGATATAAATAGAACAATAGCCCTGTTTAGTAGATTAAAGTGCTGGATTTAAATTGTTAGGTGCAGACCTGACAAGTCCTTCAATGTTGTGATGGAATGAAACACTTGTGGATCTTTCAACAGTTAACTTGTAGATCTTTCAACAGATGAAGGTTTACTTAGCCATAGAATAAAAAAGAATATTTAACAAGGATATTCCACCACTTAATTTGGGTAGACCAACCCAATTCTATACTCTGTGTCTTTATCTTCCATTCCCAGACAATTTATTTCCATTGATAGCAGTATTTATCCAACCTCAAATGTCAGGAATTGAATAGGAGTGATCAAGTTTCACCAGTTGATCTGCTCACACAGGTATAATTGTATGTTAGAAGCATCCTATAACTGAAACCTGAAGTCATTTAGATGGACTCCACCCAAGAGGTGGGACCTAATTGCCCCAAAGACAAACCGGTACTAGATGTGGAAAGCTATGGGGGTCCATATACTTCCAATCTATTATATGAGTTTCCTTTAGAACTTCATTCTTGCCCTTATAGATCTCTGTTAGTGAGTTGGCTGCAATGGGAGTTCAACTTTAGCTGAACTTTTTAAAATCCTTTGAGTAAATCCTCAAAAACTCCCCAAACATATAGAACTAGGCTATGGAGAGAATCTCAGCATTGGTACAATTAGACCCCATCTCAGGAACCTCTGCTTCAATGAATAATCAAGTTGCTATTTGAACTTCTCATGCATCTTCCTTAGTTCCTTGGTAGAGAAAGGCTGTCCACCCCTCCTCCCTCAGTGGAGGAAATCACTGTCTTCTGGGCAGTAGTAATAGGATAAATTTGAGACTTTCTTACCACTGCTGAGAGTTCCAAGTCTCTTCCTCACTCCTGCTCTCATTTTCCTATGTTATAGTTCTGTTTTCAATAGGGTGCAGTGAAACCTCTGCATTGGAAACCCATGTTTCTATCCCTTGGCTGTGGCCTATCAGTTCCTATTCTCATCGATCAAACTGCCTTTATTTGTTCCATTAGCTACCTCTCCACCTTCATTGCCCGATGCTTAAAAGGCACAAGCTCTGTGTTTAGTTTGTTGAACACATTGGTCAAGTTTACTTTGAGTTTTATTGCACTGGCAGTTCAGCTTCTGCAGGAGAATCATTATCAACTAGGGAAAACTAGACTTCGTCCTTTTCCCCCCTTCCTGGCAGCCTTCTTTAGCCTCTACTTAGCTAATCACTCTGAGTGATGAGGGGGGGAGGCTGCTCCATCTCTAGTTGAGAGTGTTCTCCATTTGCCCCCAGAAAGCCCCAGGCCACAGCATGCTATAGTGTGGGATCCAGCCATTGGATCATATTTGTAGTCCTTTTCCTTCAACTCAGCTGTATTGTTAACCATGAGGACTTCTTGTCCCAATTACTAACTACAACAAATGTCACAGGTAAACCTGGCTTTCTAGTTAGTCCAGACTCAATGTTGGGACAAAATGAGGTACTCACAAGTTATTTGGCAGATAACATTAACACTTTACTTAGCCATATCTTAGAAAAAGATATGCAACAAGGATTCTCTAGTTTGGGTAGATACCCCCACGCTCAGCTCATCTCCATATGGAAAGTCTTAGTATACCTACCAAGTCTGAAGAGCAAAACCCTTTTTAGTCCTATATGTGACCATAACTAGAGGCCATAGAAAGCTATGTCCAGGAAAGTGTGGGTTGAATTAATATGCCCTCTTTCACTCCTATCAAATCTGAGGGACAGTTTTGTTGCCTTTAGGGAGGAAGTAACTAAATGAACACCTGTTGGGGGGAGGTCAGATGGGGAAAGGAAGAAGAAAGGGAATAAATCTTTATATAGAACCTACTATGTGCCAGGCACATAAGTGCTTTACAAATATTATCTCATTGGATCATCAAAACAACCCTGTAAAGTAGGTGGAGAAACCCTGATAGATGTTGCTCCTTGTCAGAAAAGTCAACTAATCAATTAATTAGAATTTAGTAATTATCTACTGTATCCTTGGTACTGTGTTAGATGCCAGGAATATAAGAATAAAAGTGAAAACAATCCCAATATCCCATATGCAGTGCTTACTAGTTCTTTGACCAAGCATAAGACACTTAACCTTCCTGAGTCTCAGTTTTCTCTCTCTCTTTTTTTTTATGAGCCAATTGGGGTTAAGTGACTTGCCCAGGGTCACACAGCTAGTAAATGTCAAGTGTCTGAGGCCGGATTTGAACTCAGGTCCTCCTGATTCCAAGACCAGAACCGTATCTACTGCTCCACCTAGCTGCCCCCTAAGTCTCAGTTTTCTCATCTGTAAACTGGGGACAAACATATCTGTTAGGCCTACCTTACAGGGCTGTGAGGCTCAACTGAGCTAATGTATGTAGAATGCTTTGCAAACCTTAAATTTACATTAAAATGTTCATTTTTAGTTAAGGCATTGAGCTATTGATCACATGAGCATATAACTTGACTGCATTCCCTCATTTCCATGTCTTAGAATCCCTAATTTCCTTCTAAATTAAATTCAAACACCACTTCCTACATGAGGCTTTTCCCTGACCTCTCTAGCTGCTAATGTCTCACCCCCTAAAATTGTCTTTTATTTTCTTTGTATATTTATTGACTGTTTGACCCAACTGTATCATTAGCATAATCCAAATAACGACACTTAGAATTCATGGTCCACAATACTGTAGAGTCCTGTTTCCAGGAAGTCAAGAGCCTATAGAATAGGTCTGTGTTCTATGATCAGCCAGTTAATAGTTACATATACTTATCCTGAGTCTAAGCTTCATTAAATGAGGATAATACTGAGAATTTGCTGAGATTTTGACAGAATTTTCAGAAATGTTGTCTGCAGTGAAAGAAGCATTATTTGGAGAGTTACCAAAAAAAAAAATAAAAAGGATTGTCCTTTCTTTAGAGAAAAAGGATTCCATTAAAAGTACCTCTTAATTCATCTCAGAGACTCAAAATGGCTAGAAATAAGGAAGTAAGATTTCATTGCACTGACTTTGAAAGAGTCTCTTGACTTCCTGGAAACAGGACTCTACAATATTTTTTTGAGAAGTAGGTAAAACTGAATCTGACATCACTACCTAGTAGTGCCTGTAGCTAGCAAGTGGTTAGTTGAAGGGTAACAGAGGAAATTGCTCTCTGACTGATAAGACAAACCGGCAGAGTATGCGTTCTCATTTATTTCATTTTTGATTCTGTTTTATGGAGAAATACTTTTTTCTCAAGCAATAACAATTATTTTCCTTTTCAGAAGGACGCATGCTGTTTCATTAGGATACAGTTGATTCCCAGATACAACCATGTTTTTGTGGCTTAAACTCTTGACATTTGGCTTTGCGTTTCTGGACACTGATGTCTTTGTCACAGGTATGTGTTTGGCTCTTCATGACTTCTTGTTTGAAATTTTATTTTAGAAGATTTTTTCTAAGGTGGCCATAACTAATACTGAAAGAAGATTGCAGTGAGTGTCAATGTAGACGTGGTAACTTGGAAATAGGTGATGCGGAGATGCCAAAGTTCCCTTAGATAACATGGAGATGTAACTTAAGCGACAGATTACAATGCTTCCATTGGAAGAGGGTATATTTTCTTTTGGGAAAAAATCATGATAAAAAGCAAAAGGTGTATTTTTCAATTTTTACCTATTGCTCAAGGCTCTTAGAAAAGCAAAACTTATTTTTTTTAAGAAGTAAAGGCTCTAAACTTTTTCCAACATGTAAGATTTTAGGTTTTGTTATTATTTTTAAAATGAGAAAATAAGGATTTTTTTCCCTTTAAACATCTACAAATTTTCAACATCCTGCTTTTGTGAAGCTATACAGAAGGGCTTTGGTGGCATGTAAGCCACTCCCTGTTCTCAGCCCACAAATTTGCTTCCTCAAATTTTGATGACTACTCTCAGCATTTTACTGAATTCCAAATTTACATGATGATGTGGAATCATATGTCAGTGTTAACCTTCTGTTGATTCCTATGACTACAAAGTTTTCACATCCAGGTTTTAGTCTCACAGGAGAGCCATGGATGGAGTTGGGTATTCATTTTTCTGCTGTGGTAACCAAGGGGCCAACACCCTTCCTGGGTGTATTGGTGGATTTTAGATTTCAGGCTTAAAAAAGATGAGGAGACATAGAGCCTTAAGAAGGCACAAAACTAATTTTCCTCAGAAATATTTTATACCATTTTGGCTCACTGTATTTTCAGAAATAGTTTTAATTCAATTACCTGATTTAATTTGAGATCCTAATTCATCAGAGGACTGCGTAAGGGATGTTTGATCAGCATTTTCCATTCTAAAATGTGACTACATTTCTGTTGGTTACAAAGATGTTTGGAAACATCTAGGTTTTAGGTTTCTTTTTTGTGGCTTGCTTAATACTAACTTTGCAAAAAGACTCTAAGTAGTTAATATGAAGTTGATATTTTTTGGAGCTTCTAATGAAGTAAATGGAGAAAGTTATTTGCACTGTCCTATTCTGTTTTCATTTTAAAATCTTTCTGTACTCTCCACTGATCTCCTTTCTTCGAGAAAGGCCAGCAGTTACCTCCTGAGCCTTTTGCGTTGTAAGTGTTCACTTTGGCTACCGTGAGGGAGGAGATGAGGAGGGGAGCCTCAGATGGAGTTTTTCTTCTAATGATGGATTTTGTTGTTCTCCTCTATGTTTGGTCAGCAGTATCTCTTGGTTTAGAGTATACCCTTTTCTACTTGCTATCTCTATCAAGTAGGAGTTCTTACTGAAAAGTAAGAAGCAGGAGAGTAATGGTTTGAATTCTAAAGTACTTAGAATGAAAGAGAAAAAAATATGCTATCTTTTTATTCTCTGTAAATCATGGCACATTTTCATTTCTATAAAGTTCGTGCTTGTAGTCTTTCTGTCTTGCAAACGAGAGGCGCTTATTGGAAAAAAAATGATTTTTTAAAAGGTGTTACTTTTATAGTAATATTTTATTTGGCAATAGGTTTAGTTTTTAGAGAAACTATTTTAATAAGGTCATATTACTATTCTCAGGTGACAAAATATTTGCTATATTTTAGATTATTAAAGATCAGGAATTTAGTCCTTTTGCCTTTTACAAGGCCTAGTAGACAGCCTTGCTTATACAAAGCAATCAAATATTTGTTGAAGGAATAAATGAATAATAGTGAAATATATGTATATAAGATTATATCATATGTATACAATGAATACAACATAATGTATATTACACATGACACACACGTATCTATATTAATATATTTATAACACTGGAATGAGTGAAATGAACTATTATCATCAATATATAGCGCCGTCAATATTATCTGCTATTTTGAAGATCTGAGTACAGAGTTTCATTGGTAAACTCAATATGGAGCATTTCCTGTATATGGTGGCACTGATAACATAGGGAGTTAATGAATTTTGCAAAAACCAACACCTCAAACATAAAGAATCTTCATGATGGAGTGCTATGAGTGAAATGTGTATTTTACATTTCAACAAGATTTCAGTTATTAAAATTGACAAGTATTTGGAGAAATAGATAAAGAAAGGGGAACATTCTGAAAATAATGAGTTTGGAGGTACAGATCACCATGTAAGGGAAAACGTTTTGTTTTTATTTAAAAGGAAAGATTAAGTAAGTAAGGGATTGTCCAATACTGAAAGTGTTGCAGAAGGTGACAGCGAAGAAAAAATTGTAACTTTCAGCTAGTGCTGCAATGTCCTTGCTGCAGGCCAATCACTGTCGGTGGATTAGTCTATTGTACGGCTGCAGATTAGCCACGGTCTGAGGTCTACTCAGAAGTTTTCAATTCAATCTGGAGGGATTTCCCCTCCAGAAATAAATTTTAATTTTGGATGTAAAGCTGTTAGGAAAATTGCATTTGCTTTATAGAATGTTTTACGATAGCTTTGCTAAAATGAGTGATTCTTTAAAGAGAGGGTTATATCTACTTAGATTATTTTGAAAGCTCAATTATAACTTTTATCTAACATATATATTGAGAGCAATTTTTTCAAAGACAGCATTCCTGTTTCAATAGTCATCTTGTTCTGTATACCTATTTTGAGGTCAAACTATACCTTTATACTGACATGAACACTTCGTCTCTATACTTCATAAGACATGAGGGTTTTTTATGTTCATAAGTTATTGTGGGAAATGGCACATTGAAATTATCTTTGTTTTCCTTCTGCCTTCCATTCCTTTCTCCCTCCCTTACATTGGTCAGTATACATTCATTAAGCACTTTAGTAGTTCCTGCCTTCAAAGAATTTTCCTTCCTTCCCTCCTTCCTTTCCTTCCCTTGTTCCTTTTTCCTCCCTCTTCTTCACATGTCTTGTACTCTAATTGTGATTTCGATGACATGAAAACTGAATTCTGAAAAGTTCCAAGATTTTAGCATTGTGTCTATGGGATATAATAGCACAAGCTCTTTGGGAGGACAACTGGATTGATTAGTCTCAATATGTAAAAGAACAGACAATAGTTAAAAGTGAAAATGGAGGTGTTTTTTATTGCAAACATAAGGGAGGTAGATCACAAAATCTGCATTAAAATTGGCCTAATGGGCATGGAAAAAAGTGATTTCTCTCTAATTCAAGGAAAGCCTCAGGAAATACTGATGGTCATGTTTTTTTGCATACACATACTTCTCTCTGAGTATTCTGTTTCTTCTTCCTGGGGAAAAAAGTACATGGTTAGTTGGAAAATTTCTGGACAATTTGTTGGAAAGAATTTAATGTTGAGAGTGGAGTTAGAGATAGGAATTCTTTGGAAGATGCAGATGGAGACAAGGTCCATTTGTACATGGCATAAAGAAAACATATTGTCAAACAGGAGAATGAAGGATATGTTTGTCTATGGTAGTGTTGTTGTAGTGGCTTAAGCTCTTTTTTCATACTAAGGGATTTTCATAGAATAATCATTAACGGAATATTAGAGTTAGAAGGAACATTAGAGATGACCTTGTCTAATTCTCTCCTTTTATAGATTTGAACTTTAGCGTTTAAAATGTTCAGAATGTTGGTCTATCCAGTTGCAATTGAAGATACTTGGAAGGGAAGATGGTACAATATAGTGAAAGGCACTGGTAATTCATTTCTAACTGTAGCTTCCTCTTGGAACAAATATTTGCCTTGTCAATTTGCCATGGTCATACCCAGCTATGACTTCTTGTCCTGTTGGGTTTTTGTCAGGCTTTTCTCTCCTTGGCCAACTTGTAACCTTTGACGTGGTGGACTATTCCTTTTTTCAAAAATCCTTGGCCTTGGAGCCGCTAGATGGCACAGTGAAGAGAGCACCAGCCCTGAATTCAAATCTGGCCTCAGACACTTGACACTTACTAGCTGTGTGACCATGGGCAAATCATTTCACCCCATTGCCTTGCCAAAAAGAAAAAAAAATCCTTGGCCTAGCTTTTAAGATTTTCCATACTCTTACCTCAAACTACCCTTCCAGTGATATCTTCCACAACTTAACTATGGAAAAACTCTTCATCTTTTCCCCAAACATCTCCTGAACATTCCTGTCTCTACACCTCAGCTCTCACCCTTCTCATCTAAAAAACCCCTTCCTTTGCAATTTTGGAACCCTGTCCATCCTCTAAGGACCAGCTCAAATTCAACCTAACTCTCTGGCATTCTATGAACTCATCGTCTGTGCTACTAATTTGACATGTAATTTTAGTTCTTTTTATGGATCTATATCATCTCTTTAACCACAAGTTTCTTGAGGGCACGGATCTTATCTTATATTTTTTCATACTCCCCACAGAATCTAGCAAGTGCCTAATTTATTAACGGAGAGACTCAATTACAGAATTTAAAAGAAAGACTACACGAGAAAAAGAAGAGGTAAAGGTTGATCACCCTTTTCCCCTTCTTTCCATTTGTTTATTCCTGCCCAAGATTTAAAGTTCCTGTCAAGTCATCTGTGAAGAGAAAGATTTCCTTGATGCCAGTGGAGGCCTTCCAGCAAAGTGAGGGGTGAGGGTACAGGCTGGACTAGTTGGCCTCTGAGCTTCCTTCCAATTCTGACATTTTGTAATTCTCTGGTCTCAGTACACAGAGGTCTTCCTCTAAAATCTTGTTATTTATTTTATTCATTTTTAATCATGACATAATATCTTGTATGATAATTTGTCTTTTATATATATGCCCATTTCCTCATATAATAAAATTGTATATTGGTTGATTGATCCTCAACTAGATTACAACTTCCTTAAGTCAGGGACTATGTCATGTACCTCACTATATTTCCAAAGTCAAGAATAATACCTTATGTATAAGAAATATTCAACATATGTTTATTAAAAAGAAGGGCATGAGATGAAAAGATGGGTATAGAGGAGAAGAGAGAAGGGAATGAAGAGATACACAAAGAAG